GCACAGAGTAGTTTGCAGCACGAGCCAAAACTGAAAAACACCAATGGCATTCCACTTCTCAACCAAGAGTCACTTTGAATACAAAGGAGCTAAGAGTACCTAAGAGTACAAAGGAGCTGTCCCGCTGAAGAGATTTACAGTAAACAACGAGTTGGCCGTGTAGACCAAACATTCGTGTTGATACAAACGAATTCAGGCCGTTGCTCATCACTCGGTCAAACTGGTTTTCTTTACAGTTGAACTTTGGGCCTTGTTTCCATGAAATTTCTCAAGCAAACTGGAACCAGACCCATCCGGAGCAGATGCAGCTCAAGCTGCCCGGCTTCCCGATGTGAGCACTTGAGTCCTTTCAAGAAGGGCAGGAGAGCCCAGAGCGTGAAGAATGATACCTCTCCCCGACCCCTCTCTGCGCCTCTGAGCTCGGGCGACCTCTGAACCGCTCGTAATGTCCCGGCACCCCGCCCTGCCACCGAGAACAATATGCTTGTCACGTGACAAAGTGAACAGCTGTGTACTTAGAGCTGGAACTCGGTGCATTAGGGGAGGGTCCTGTCAATGTTGCCGCAGTATGGAGACGACAATTTGCTTGCGTAGAATCCCAAACTTGAGTAGTTTGTTTTTCTACATTTAATTGTTTTTATTACCGTAATTTACTTAGCCCCCCCACGCACCTCCAATTAGCACGGTTAGCTACGTAGGGTACGCAAGAAGTTCAACGTACAAACTTGAAATCATTCAAGGTAGAAAAGAGGAGACCGATCATAGTTGGTGAAACTGTTCATCAGAAAAGATGTTTTTTTAAACTCATCAGGCCCCATGGTGAAAAGTTCCATACGTCAAATCTCATTTTCCACGATCGCTTCGGTCTCTATTTATGAACAAGGGCTATTGTCTGACGTGTTCCCATTTAAAAAAATAATATTTTAAGGCCACATTGTTCTTGACAATCACTGGCCACCGATATCGGCCGCGGCTGGGAACAGAACTCAGGTTTCTGAATTCATAGCTCGGTGCATTTCAACCACTGCGCCCAATGCTTACCGCGAACAATCAACTAATGCAGCAGTCAATTTAAAAATACAACTCGATTTTCTGTCGGATGCATTATGGCCGTGGAATATGCTACGGTTCAAGAGCAATCACACTCAAAATGACCGCACATCGAATCCAATTTCCCCTTTAACACGGTGACTGGGAAGGAATGGCTTTTTCGACCTCAGAGAGAGATGCAATGTTTGTGAACTTATTAAATCTGACACCGTATTGAATGTCAAGGCAGTCTGCATAAATTGGATAGCAACCGACACTATTTGTAGTGGGACCCTCTTTCGAAATTAGCAGTCCCCCCCAAGGGGGATTCACCGTACATCACAAACACGGGGTGGTAACCGTACATGGACAGCGATCGCTACACGGCCGGGGCTGTATTAGGCCACGGTTGTTTTTTTGAATAATTCTATTTCAATCCGTTTCCTCGTTCGTTATCTGCCGCGGTTTTTTTTTTTGCGCACGAGCCAGCCCCGATTTGTACTCATCCACTGCTGGATGAGAGCCTCCCCTCCCCTACCCACGCCTTGCAGACTGCAATGGAAATGTAACCACAGCTCACCAAATGCGACCTGGTGAAGATGAACGGGGGAGTGCAAAACTTACCCTGCCACTGCTCGCAATGCCTATTATCCCACCTGTCCATTGTGCATAGTGGCCACCCCACCTAAGCACTATCCAAGCTTGACCCTGTATGCATGTTGAACTTCCTCTGCGCCATATGTAGCCAATCGTGCAAAAACAAACTAAACGCAAAAAGAATTTCCAAGGAAATTAGTTTTCAATCTAGATGATTTACAAGTGCATAGCACTTGAGAATCCAGTCTTTAAACCAATTTCTTTTCACTTGCGTAGGCTGGCTGTGTAGATTGTGTGCCTTTTACATTATTTGCATTCCTTTGATGGTTCTATTTGTAAACGGGTTTTGTTCAATTTGTTTTCGTTAGCCGTTTGTTTAGGGTTGGGTTATTTTATGCAAAGCACAGCGAGGCCTTGCGTAAATTCTCGGCGTGTAAAATGACGGGTCTCTGTGTGAACCTGTGGGTCTCTGTGCGAGTCCACGGGTCTCTGTGCGAGTCTATGTCTGTTGAACTTCTTTCGCACCGTACGTAGCCAACCATGCTCATCGGAGGTGTGGGGGAAAGACAACAAAGTAAACACGGAAAGCCTCGGTGCTGTGAGACTGCAAATGCCTGCGTGCCACCTGGACTCTAGAGTACATTTTTTATTAAATCCTCCCCATGTCTGTGAACCTGTTTGACCGGTGCGAAAGGGCTCATTCAGTTCCACCTAACAAACTCCCCTCTTAAACAACAGCGAAAGTACGCAATATGTTATTTTACGCAAAGGCTTTCATGACCAATATTATGATTCCGAATTTGTTTATTTCGTGCAGTAATATCAATCTATAACTCTTCGCCATCCGGACATAGCCAATCAAATGAAGTTGTAACGTCACTTTCCACATTTCTGTGTTGGATTAGTCACCAGTAAGTGATCTTTAGAAGTAATAAATTGTTCCTGTTACCCAAGCACTTTGCAAAGATAAGAGGGGCAACCATGATGGGGAGATGTTGACTACCTCGCCTGGTATGCAGGAGGTCGTGGGTTCGATCCCGACCCTGACGCCTGCTGTATATTTGAAGTTTGCGTGTCACTCTCTCATCATCATCATCACGGTGGCTAGGAGATGTTAACTACCTCGCCTGGTATGCAGGAGGTCGTGGGTTCGATCCGGACCCTGACGCCTGCTGTCTCTTTGGAGTTTGCGTCTCTCTCTCCCTGTGGTCATGTGGATTTTTCTCCAAGTCCTCCGGTTTTTCCCTCTACATTTAGAATCGACATGCGTTTTAGAGTATTTGCCTGTTAGAAATGTCCATGCGATAAGCCACTTTATTGAGTGGTCATTTGTGGCGAGGTCGCTTCTGAAAAAAAATACATAGGCTCAGTGGGCCTTACCTAGTAAAATTAAAGAATTAAATAATAGTTACATTTGAGTTAAGGGGTAATCCGGATGTAGCAGAAAATGCATCCTATTGTCCGTGTTAACCCCTTCAAGTAAACGGGGTAATTTTCCGCAAATAGGATCCACCAATAACACAGATTACCACGGCAAAGAGAAGGTTGACCGTTTCACTCATTTATATTTCCAGTGCTGCGTTTAACTCTGCGTCAACAAGCACGGTATTCGCAGTATTAATTCCACAGATGACGGGAGACAATAACAGCTCCGTCGCGTGCATAGACACGTTGTAGATTTTTGTTTGTAACCATAGCCATCTGCGAGTGAATGTCGTTCAGAACTCATTACCGTCTTGCGTATTTATAGGCTAGTTTAGGGTTTCGCCACTGGTGAAAGACGGCCTCCCCATGTCCTGTGAGGAGCATTTGACCATACTTCACCACACTGGTCAGTGCGGGTTGGTGAAGGTGGAGTGGAGTACTACAGAACAAAAATGGATCCTCCAGCACTGCAATGTATTTACACCTGACTACGCATGTACGCTGAACTTCTTTCGCACCCTACGTAGCCGACCGTACTAATCGGATCGGTGCGCATGTTGGTCACCCATCCAAGCAATTAAGCAGGCTCAATTCTAGATTTGAAGCTTTCGTGACTGCAAGGATTCATATTCTTAGGTTTTTTCGGTAAAGTCACGTAGGTAAAACATTAAAATTATTAAAAGTAAAATAAAATAAAAATCACGACGTTTCGGAGGCAACACAAGCTTCCGTCTTCAGGTGGAACCGTCACAGCCACGACAGCTGTATCAAGTAAATGAGAGATTACAAGAGCTACCACTCCGTATATATAATGGTTCGAGAGGGGGGGGAAGGGCCAAGTACGGCACACTTTTTATTAATATGGTAAGGTGAGGCTTGAGAGGCTGAGCCTTTGTTATGGAGAGGTACGGTTTGTGACTGAGCCTGGCCTACATAACAATAGTGTGAAAAAAGAAACAACTAAACATGGTAAAACAAGCCTGGCTGTCTATCAATAACCTGTAATAGTTGTCTGTCAAATAAGATGGTCCAAATAAGTGTAGTGAAATCTTTTTTGCTTGGTTAATCACATCTTTCCAATGATTACTCAGTTTGTAACCATCATCACGGTTGAAATTATGTCTGTGTTTGTATATATTTTTTAATTTTACTTTCATTAATTTTAATGTTTTACCTACGTGACTTTACCGAAAAAACCTAAGAATATAAGCAGGCTCAAACCTGCTTAGCTTCCTAGATCGGCTGCATTCTGAAATGGTGTTTTCCATCGGCAAACGGGAGGGCCCTGGGGTCCCTTAGAAGCAACGGGCTCCTTGGCACGCGTCCCAAGTGCCACTGAATATATCCGGCACACCCCACGACATCATACTGCAGCAGCAGCAGCGGCAGCTGCCTTTCAATAATTTATACCGAAGCAATTGAGCAGAGTAATGTCATTAATAATTTAAGGCAAACTGATGGCAACAGAGGCATGCCAATTTATCAAAAGGAGGCATGCAGGTCCTGACCAATGTTCTACACAGTGACACAGACGTGTTACAAAAATGCCTGAGTTTCAATACGAATAGTAGGACAAAGGCAAAGGTGCTGCCCAGCAGTTTCTTATTCATCCCCACTGCTCACAGAAATGCCTCCACGAGAAGCAGCTCTACAAGTCCACCAGACAGGGTATTTGGTCTACTCTTCCATCCGCTGGCGAGAGGTCTCTGAAGAGGTGGCAACACCCACACTTTACCCCACCACTAGCTGCATAGCCATCGACTAACTGCGATGCACCCATTTACACCGCTGGATGGACCGACGCGGGGAGTTGGGGGGGGGGATTATTTAAGAAGCTTTGCGTTGTCGCGGTGCGCCGACCGTGACAGCACCTGGGCAGCATCTCTACAACACCAGCGATGGATAGGGACGGTGAGAGAGCGCCGTCGTGGCGACAACGAAAGCCTTACCGATGGAGATCTCCTGTGCGAAGGCGAGCGAGATGAGCATGAGCGGCAGGCCGACCGTGATGAACTTGAGGAGGCGGTCGGCAGGCAGCTCGAGACGCAGGCCCTTGAACCTGGCGTCAGCCGAGTCCTTGAGCAGCGAGTCCGAGAAGATGTACTCTGCGGCGGCCGCCGCGATCGACATCGCTGGTGGTGCTGCAGCGGAAGTTAAATGACAACGGGTGACTTGCAGAGCGCCAACAATGGGCACAGCTCACAAGGGTTAGGTCCGCACCCCGATGCCTGTATATTTGGAGATGGCAGGTCTTTCTCTTCCCGTGGTCAAGTGGATTTTTCTCTGGGTCCTCCGGTTTTTCCCTCCACATTTAGAATCAACATGCATTTAGGGTGTTTAGCTGCTACACATTTACACGTAAGCCACTTCGTTGAGCTACCGTTTGTGACCAGGTCGCTTCTGAAAAAGAGCTATATAGCTCAGTGGGCCTTATTTGGTAAAAAAAACATACGTAGCTTTGTTTTAGTTTAGTTTACATGCCGTTGGTTCATGTAACCCGGGCTCCAGCCAGATTCAACACCGTGCGTATTGTTTAAATTATTTTTTAAATTGAATTAGTACCCCCTCCTCCACTACCAGAAGGAAATCGTTACATGCCTCCTGACCACAACCATCTCCGTCAAATTCAATATCACAGACCAGGATATTAACGATCGTAGGAATATTTTTTTCACAATCTCAAGCGTGCGGTAAACTCTAATGCAACGTTCGTCATTGCAAGGCCCGTGGGCCACTGGCGGCCCCAGGTGGCCCTAAGTGCGGCCCCCGAGAAATCACCTCCCATCATCATCATCATCCTGCTGCTGCTGTCAAATCCCAATAGTTTAAAATGTGTAGTGGCCCTCACACCGATGTCTTATCAGCAAAAGTGGCCCCCCTCTGAAAATTAGTGAAGAACACTGCTCTAACGCCTAACCGGAAATTGGTAAAAAATATATTATTCCATTTTATGGCTGTTAAAATGCAATGGTGCACATTTTATTGTTTTTTTACTTAACTACAGCACTTTTACTCGGTGCCTTAGGGTCAAAATTATTTGTTTAGAGATTGTTTCGTTTTTTCGCTACTGAATTTGCACCCTAAAAATGCCATCCCAAGTCTCCTTCGCAAACAAAACCTCCCTTTTCAATGAACTCTGCAGACACATGCAGAGCCCTCTTGCGGGTCGTTGTGGTCATTGGACCATACTTCACCACGTTGTGTACATAAAACCCATAAACACACGCCGTGGATACAAGAGTTATCAGCATCTAATTCTCGTAACGCAAATCGCCTATGGCCAACAAAAACACATTGGACGCGCTACATTTTTCTTCACAAATGCCTAAGTGCTGTGGCTTGTCAAAACGTGCCTGGACCGCAGAGGATGATACATTGGAAGTGGGTTATTATTACTACAGTACAGGATGCCTACACTTAGAAACAAACGTTACATTTACTGAGCTGCTATGCATGATGTCCTTCTGGACCCAAGTTGTTGAATCTGGATCGTGGCTACCAACACTCTAACTCAACTATATTTTTGTTTACTATTTTTTTTAATCTTACCAGGCAAGGCCCACTAAGTTACGTAGCTCTTTTTCAGACGCGATCTGGCCACAAATGATAGCTCAGCGAAGTGGCTTATCGCGTGGAAATTTAAAGCAGCCAAATCCTCTAAACGCACATTTCTAAATGTGGAAGAAAAAATCGGAGGACTCGGGGAAAAAATCCATGTGACCACGGGGAGAACACACAAACTCTAAATATACAGGCGTTAGGGTCGGCATCGAACCCACGGCTTCCTGTACACCAGGGCAAGGTAGGTAACATCTCGCCACCGCACCGTCCACTAACTTACTCCACTATTTTCAACAGTACATAACAAAATTCCCCTCTGGGCTATAAGGCGAGCATGTAAAGCGGGGGTGGGGAACCTTTTTTTCTGCCAAGGGCCATTGGGATATTTATAACATCATTCGCGGGCCATACAAAATTATCAACTTAAACATTCGCCCGTTATATTTGGCCGAACATTTCATTAACTCACCCCTAATGCGATGGCTGGAACTGCTTCTCTTTGGCGAGGCGTGTGATGTTAACTGGTATTGATGATGTTGCTACTCGCAACTGCTTTTCCAGGTTTGTTCCTGGATTTGTTGAATTTCGAGTCGCGCCTGCGGTTGCCTTGGCAGGGCCAGACCAAATGATTTTGCGGGCCTCATACGGCCCGCGGGCCGACGTTCCCCACCCCTGATGTAAAGGAACTGCAGTACAGTAGTACAGACGAAGGGCAGCATGTCTGATAAGATGGTAATCAGAGAATGCAGCTGTGTCATGGGTGTTGTGCGTGAAGTGGAACTGCATCTGGTGACGGTGTCATAAAAACACGGGAACTGAAAGGCAAGATGAAGCCACTTCAACGTTCTAAGCTCTTAGTGGCTCAATGACCCTTTGACGGAGTTGTGGAGTTGCGAGGTGAAGAGGAGGGATGGGAATTATCTGTGATGATGAATGGAGCTTAAGAAGGCATGGACCTGCCCTTGTGCTGAAATTAGGTTAAGCTTAAGAATGGCTCATTTACTGTACTATTAATAGCAACAGTTGATTTACAACTGCAGCACACATATCAACAATCTTAATCAAGAGAACAACACATTGCTAAATAACCGTGCGCGACATCGCAAGCGCGTGTACTGCAGTACGACATTAAACTATCAGAGGAAGATTAACTTTGTCACGAAAGTACTATGCTCATTTATATACTCTTCAGGTATAAAATCTACGCTCAAAACGTTCTGCCCTTTCACCAATGACATATCATAAACATAAACGGTGATTCAAACGTTATTGGCCAACCAGCATTGCAACTCGGTGACTAATTTCATCGACAACATTAACGGCAGAATGACAACAATTTCACTATGTACATCGAAATCAGTGGTTCTTAATATTTACTGCAGCCTGCACCCCCTTTGGTTCTGAATCGTGAAAACAATGTATACTACGAATAAATACACACACGAGTTTGATGAAACAAAGTAGTTGTACTTCCAAGCCCGTGCTTAATTTTTTTCGCTTATTTACCTTCTAAAAATAAATCTAGCCACATCTCGCACCCCCAGAAAGGGGCATCTCTCGCACGCCCAGGTCAAGAAACCACTGATCTCAATAAACTCAAGCCTCCTATAAATCTTGATTTGAAGCTAACACATTCCTGCGGAGGGAGGTGGTAGGGACGTTGGGTTGCTCGGTCAATGGCCAGGGTCAACGGTGGCGTGGTGTATTCCGCAAATATGGCCGACTGTGAGGGCGGGCACAAGCCGGCGTGAGTAGGTTAAACGTTGAGTTTTATAAGGGCACCACGGGGTGACCAGCCCCTCCCCACCCAGCCCCACCCCCCACCCAGCCCCATCCTGCCCACCCAGCCCCTTCATACCCTCCCCACCCAGCCCCTCCCCACCCTCCCCATTCCATTCACCATTGCATCCCTTTTCCCATGGTGCGGCCACGGATACAAACATTTTAACCTCCGGCAACAAGACTATGAAGTTTAATCGATTACTTAAAGCCTCACAAAGTGTCACGACTGGTGTGTTTTTTTTTCCCAGGAGGATATTGTGCGAAATTGGGATGCTTATTTAGCCACTGATATTAATGAATGTTCGTTTTCTTTGGGGAAGCAGCCGGATAACCCATCATCACGAATACGAGTGGACAATACAAATGTGTCTCTTTGGTTCTTTCGGTAAAGTCACGTAGAAATAAAAATATATATAAATTAACCAATAGCATACGACGTTTCGATTGCAACACAAGCAATCATCATCAGGTGCAAATGAAAAATAAAACAACCCGAGTAAACTTTAATACAAATTATTTTTTTTACACGGATATCCACTCGGTTACCACCGACTACATTAACTTTGTCACATTTTGGACGCTCAGTTGTGTTGAGCCTGGCGAGTGACTGGATGGGAGGTATCCTGGGGCATACCCAGACATGGGAAATTTTGGGGCAGTGAAGAGAGCCATAGCATCGTATTGGATTACTGAATCAATCTGTGCAGTACACTTTTGAGTGTGACCTCCTGCGGTCTGCTTTAGAGTCGGTGTTCCTAAATAATTCCCCAAACTTTCCCCCACACATTTAAAGTTCCCAACAAAAACGGAAGTGAATCAGCATCCCAAAGCAGCAGCAGGAGCGGTGAATAAACGAGTTTATGGAGACTCTGCAAGTGCTTTACCCAGTAAATAAAGGACACCCGTATGAATTTAAACGTTATTATTGCTAATTATTCCTTTGAAATACATCCACTTCCAACTTACACCCGATTGCTAGAGTACAATTACGCGAAAAAGTCGCTGTACCACATCATACACACACCTCAAGAGATCTAGACGATCGCTATTCAACTTGTGACACCGACAACAATAAGAAATCGATCTGTCATGGAAACCAATAATCACCGATCATCCGGATTAGGAGACGTTCCTTCGACTGTATATTAACGCACTAATATTTTGACCAACTCAAGCAGTCCGAGTTGTCGGTGGCCTTCTTACTATCGCGAATGTCTCAATAATAATAACGCAGTCATCACCACCATCCCACCATCTCTCACTTCCTTCCCTAAAAAGCCAACAAAAAATGCCCCTTTGCTGCTGCTACTACAGGGTCAAGAAACCCCATCACCTCCTACCCAATTGCCATCAAGACGACTTAAAACCTCTAACCTTTATACAACACGGCGTCGCAAGAGCTGGATAAATCGTTAGATAATTTAAAAAAATACTTAGCAAACAAATGTTTAAGCACCTTTGCTGTTTCCCCATCGAAACGGGATCAATACAATTGGCGACCAAGCGAGCGGTGAAGTTGATCAACATTCGGCCGGTGAAGTCACGTAGGTAGAACACTAATCGATCACGACGTTTCGATCGCAACACAAGCAACCCGTCATCAGGAAGGGAACAACCACAACAACAACAACAACACAAAAACTGCTGAAGCAGACCGCGTCCCAGTTCGCCACCGTCAAATTGTTTCTAATATCGGGCCGTGAATGGGGGGGGGTCTTTGTATCGATGCCGACAAAAGTTGGGCAAAATGTTGCATCGATTAAGGTTGTTGTTGTTGTTGTTGCCCGTCACGTTCGATTGAGAACTTAGTACTTCGAACCCGCCACCCTCCACCCCAAACAAACTTTACACATCCTCAACTTGAAACCACGGCCCACATCGCCAATGACCAACGCGTTACAGTAACACAAACACACCACCACAGTCGCCTTGTCACTGTACCGTACTGTGTGCTGGCTGAACGCCGTGGACACAGCCAAGTTCGAACTCGCTGCGCTGGCTGTGACCGAGGGGTGTGAAGAGTGGGGAGAGAGAGAGGGAGAGCTGTCGTTACCGCGTGGCTGGGAGCCGCGTTAGAGATGACCGCCCGCCACCCACATGGCCGCCTCCTTCACTGCCGCTCTGCTGCTGCAGCTGCGGCGGCAGCAGCAGCATGGGGAGGCAGCAGGAGGGGGAGGGGCTTACTGGGGGGAGGGGCTTACTGGGGAGAGGGGCTTACTGGGGGAGGCAGCAGGAGGGGGAGGGGCTTACTGGGGGGAGGGGCTTACTGGGGGGAGGGGCTTACTGGGGGGAGGGGCTTACCTGGGGGAGGGGCTTACTGGGGGAGGGGCTTACTGGGGGGAGGGGCTTACTGGGGAGAGGGGCTTACTGGGGGAGGCAGCAGGAGGGGGAGGGGCTTACTGGGGGAGGGGCTTACTGGGGGGAGGGGCTTACTGGGGGGAGGGGCTTACTGGGGGAGGGGCTTACTGGGGGAGGGGTTTACTGGGGGAGGGGCTTACTGGGGGGAGGGGCTTACTGGGGGGAGGGGCTTACTGGGGGGAGGGGCTTACTGGGGGAGGGGCTTACTGGGGGAGGGGCTTACTGGGGGGAGGGGCTTACTGGGGAGAGGGGCTTACTGGGGGAGGCAGCAGGAGGGGGAGGGGCTTACTGGGGGAGGGGCTTACTGGGGGGAGGGGCTTACTGGGGGGAGGGGCTTACTGGGGGAGGGGCTTACTGGGGGAGGGGTTTACTGGGGGAGGGGCTTACTGGGGGGAGGGGCTTACTGGGGAGAGGGGCTTACTGGGGGAGGCAGCAGGAGGGGGAGGGGCTTACTGGGGGAGGGGCTTACTGGGGGGAGGGGCTTACTGGGGGGAGGGGCTTACTGGGGGAGGGGCTTACTGGGGAGGGGCTTACTAGGGGGAGGGGCTTACTGGGGAGAGGGGCTTACTGGGGGAGGCAGCAAGAGGGGGAGGGGCTTACTGGGGGAGGGGCTTACTAGGGGAGGGGCTCACTGGGGGGAGGGGCTTACTGGGGGGAGGGGCTTACTGGGGAGAGGGGCTTACTGGGGGAGGCAGCAGGAGGGGGAGGGGCTTACTGGGGGGAGGGGCTTACTGGGGGGAGGGGCTTACTGGGGGGAGGGGCTTACTGGGGGAGGGGCTTACTAGGGGGAGGGGCTTACCGGGGGGAGGGGCTTACTGGGGAGAGGGGCTTACTGGGGGAGGCAGCAGGAGGGGGAGGGGCTTACTGGGGGAGGGGCTTACTGGGGGAGGGGCTCACTGGGGGGAGGGGCTTACTGGGGGGAGGGGCTTACTGGGGGGAGGGGCTTACTGGGGGAGGGGCTTACTAGGGGGAGGGGCTTACTGGGGGGAGGGGCTTACTGGGGGGAGGGGCTTACTGGGGGAGGGGTTTACTGGGGGGAGGGGCTTACTGGGGGAGGGGCTTACTGGGGGAGGGGCTTACTGGGGGAGGGGCTTACTGGGGGGAGGGGCTTACTGTGGGGAGGGGCTTACTGGGGGAGGGGCTTACTGGGGGAGGGGCTGACTGGGGGGAGGGGCTTACTGCGGGGAGGTGGTGTGGCTGACGAGGGCGGAACTACTGCCGGAGGATACGCAGGTGGGGTGAGGGGGTGGGGGTGAGAGGGAGGGTGGGGGTGGGTGAGAGGTGGGGTGAGAGATGGGGTGAAAGGGGGGGTGAGAGAGGGGGTGGGTGAGAGGTGGGGTGAGAGATGGGGTGAAAGGGGGGGTGAGAGATGGGGGTGGGGGTGAGAGAGGGGGTGGGGGTGAGAGGGGGGTGGGGTGAGAGAAGGGGTGGGGGTGAGAGAGGGGGTGGGGGTGAGGGGGTGGGGGTGAGGGGGTGGGGGTGAGGGGGTGGGGGTGAGAGAGGGGGTGGGGGTGAGAGAGGGAGTGGGGGTGAGAGAGGAGCTGGGGATGAGAGTGGGTGGGTGAGAGGGTGGTGAAAGGGGGGGGGGAGTGAGGGGATGGGGGTGAGAGAGGGAGGGTGGGGGTGAGAGAGGGGGGTGAGAAGGAAGAGGAGGGTGCGGGGTGAGAGGGGAGGAGGGCACGAGGCTTTTCACACGGAAGCCGACGTGAAATGTTTTTTTCTTCAAATGTTGATGATTTTGTTTGACCCGAAAGGTGAGAGGTGTTGCGAGACTGACTACTGGGGGAGTCTCATTCGTAAGGGTGGGTGAGTGGGTGGGTCAGTGAGTGGGTGGATGAGTGGGTGAGTGAGTGGGTGGATGAGTGGGTGGGTGAGTGGATGGGTGAGTGGGTGGTTTCGTGGGTGAGTGGATGGGTGAGTGGGTGGTTTCGTGGGTGAGTGGGTGGATGAGTGGATGGGTGAGTGGGTGGTTTCGTGGGTGAGTGGGTGGGTGGGTGACTCGTTGGACAAATTATTGAATGAGTAGAAGGATGGGCGAATGAATGGGTGGGTCATTGGTTGAATAGATGATGGGATGATTTAGTTAGTTAATGGAGTCAAGTCAAGGTTAATACTGGTAGGAACCTCCTGATTACACCAGCCCACAGGGGATTATTGTGTCCGTCCGTCGTGCATCCAAAAATGGGAGGGGTGGGGCTGGGTAGAGAGGGGAGGGTGGGGAGGGGCTGGGTGGGGAGGGTGGGGCTTGCGTTGTGGCCGAAACGTCGTGAAAATTATTTTATTATGTTTTATTTTTATTATTTTATTACTTCCCTTCTACGTGACTTTACCGAAAGAACCAAGAAAATGGACCGTTGGAATACCTTATGCCAGAAAAAGTGTGTTGACCAGTGTAATTGCGAAACTCCGTTCTTACCCGTGGGCACAATCGAGGTGCCATACCCCGGCTCGCCAGGAGACGGCGGCACAAGCCAATGTCCCCCACACATCGTTACGTCTGCAGTCTGGGGAGCAGCATTGATTGTAAACTATTGTTTTTAAACAAATATGTTTTTATTTTATTTCATAAGGTAAGGCCCACACTGAGCTGTATATAGCTCTTTCTCAGAAGCAACCTGGGAATACAAATGACAGCTCAACAAAGACGGCTAATCACGTGGAAACTTACAGCAGCCAAATGCTTGAAACGCATGTTGATTAAATAAATGTGCAGGGAAAGACCGGAGAGATCTGGAGAAAACCCCACGCGACCACGGGGAGAGAGACACGCAAACTCCAAATATACAGCAGCAGACGTCTGGGTCGGGTTCGAGCCCACGACCTCCTGCATACCAGGCGAAGTAGTTCACATCTCGCCACGGCGGCGATTGTAGTAGCCTCATCGCGGCAAAGAGTAGGCTTAGGCGTCTTAAAAATTGAAATTCAACAGTTAATGGGCCACTCTCCACTGTAGCTGGCCTGCCGAGGATGTAGTTGTGAAAGTTCTTGCTGCATTATACAATGGCGAAACTCCCCCCGTGATGGTGGTGTAAGCTGTCGGTGCAGCCCATGGTCAACAGGCTGGCATTGTCAAATAATTTTTAAATCCTTTATATTAAGTTCGCTTGCTTGCTTGCTTAGGACCGTGCAAATCTTTCGGTCGTTTTTTACCCCACTTCCCGTGATCCAATCGAGCTGACATTTTGCACAAATACTCGTTGTGCGTGACAATGAATTTTCGTGAAATTTTTTTCCCAAAATTTTACACTGTTTAGGGAATTTTTTAAAAATATTTATTTACCAATTGGTTAATGCTGGCACACAATCATCTGACCCATAGGTGGCAGCCATCTCAAGCCAGAGGACGAGAGGACTCGAGCCGCCCCGATGCCACGCATATAAAGGATTTATAGTGAAAAACTTTGTTTTTACGGGTTAATTTTATTTATTAGACGCTTTTATTTAACTCACTCTGTCTGTTGTTGTCGTTGTTGTATCCTCAATTCTTGTGACTCGATTTTTACCCACTTCCCAATGTGATATCGACTGCAAACTTGGTATACGTATGTCATACTGATGACAATACTGTACTATATATTCTATCATAAAAAAATTAAAATGTATATTTTTGTGACGACGTGTGACGAGGGGGGGGGGGGGTGTTTGAGAAATGTGACTTCACATAAAAATGCGCAACTTTAAATAAATATATAATTGCTATAACAACACTAATAGTTATAAGAACACTCCTACAACATCAGAGTACAGCGTCACATTAAATACGCACTACAATGACAATAGTTTAAAGCGATTTTTAAGAATGTTTATTTTCAAAATGGAAATATGAATTTGGGGGGGGGAGAGGCAGAGCTTTGTGACGTCATATTTTAGGGGGGGGGGTCTGACTTTTTGTGACGCCGTGTGACGAAAGGGGGGGGGGTAAAAAATCGTCCAAAATCGCGTGACGTCATTTATGGACGGCCCCAAAGCGGTGTTGTGTGGGCAACTCTAACTCACTGATTCAGTCCCATTACCGAATTCTCTTTCCGTAGCGGAAGACGGACTTCGAGCGCCAATAAAACCCCTGAATCAGCAGCCGCGCGCTGATTGGACAGAGCCGGCCCCACCTCCCTCGGCGTGGCCAATCGCATCGCGCGCAGAGGCTGCACATGCAGGAAGTGAAATCAACGCGAGGCCGGGTGGATGTGACGGGCTCGTTTAACGGTTAATGTCGTCGATAATTATGTAATAATAATTACAAATAATATAAATAATAACCTTATCTTATTGACTCGTATGGACGACGCGAACAGCGTCTCCGTGGCGTTCAAGAATATAAAGGTTCTGACCGGCAGCGTTAAGAGCTCATGGTGAACAGACTTTGCTGTGACCCTACAGGACTCGATCCTTTAAGTGCGCACTTGTGGGACCGTGACCCCTTTCCCCCCCAAATGGGCCTCGTTTCTTCTGTGCACGAGTCGTGACAAGGAGGTCTGAGATAATCCAGGCGCTAAACGTCGCGTCCGCTCGTCACCTCCTCCCCCCCAAGGTCAATTCGTGGCGTGCCATGTGACCGCCTTGTGTAATATACTGTGCTCATGGGGTTTACCGCTCCTACACACGCTGGGTGCATACTGCGTACAACTACAGCGCCTCGCTTAGTGCGGCTGCAACACCGCAGAGAGCGGGTTTTGTTGGTGTTGAAGTCTGAGAAGTTTTCGTTTCCCCGCCGTCGATCCAGGGAAGATGCGTTGGACTCAGTTCAGAACGTCTTGGAAGTTCCCCACAATTGTGCTGTGCGTCTACGGCTTCTTGTACAACATGCGACCGTCTGAGCCGTTCCTCACACCCTACCTGGTTGGACCCGATGTGCAGCTGTCAACTGAGGATGTGAGTTGTTCGCAGCACGGACAAGACGGAACTTTGCTGTTACCAGCTGCAGTGCGAGTATTTCCAGCAGTATTTGCTCCGGCGAGGGGGTGTTTAGTACGATAACAATTTACTCTTTGGTTCTTTCGGTAAGTCAAGTAGGTAGAAAAATAAAAGAAAATAAATCACAGTGCTTTATTTAGTTTGAGTTTTCTACCCACGTGACTTACCGAAAGAACCAACGAGTATTGATCCATGCAGTCACGAAAGCTTCAAATTACGATAACTGCCAACAGTTCCAGCATATAAGCTCAAGTACGCATAACGTTTCGATTTAAAGCTTTCGTGACTTGCAGGGATTCATATTCTTGGTTCCTTCGGTAAAGTCATCACGTAGAAGGGAAATAATAAAATAAAAACAATTAAATTCTCACAACGTTTCGATTGCAACACAAGCAATCATCATTAGGTGTGAAAACCACAGCAACAAAAAAAGAATACGCAGAACGTTTTAGCAATTGGTGAAACTTACCCCATACAAACATAGTGTAATCATGGCCTATGGCTTATGTTACGACGTGAGGTCCTGTTGAGCCGTTCATGACCCCGTGCCTGCTTGCCACCTGATGTGCAACTGTATTCGTACAATCGATCATTGATTCAATTATAATCGAAGGAAATGGGGCGCCGGATTTTAAACGCGGGGATAATCACTACATCAGTTTTTTATTTATTTGAATTTTTGCACGTTATTGCATCACATTGTTTTCAGGTGTTGTGTACATACAGTTTTAGTGTTTAAATGTGTTTACTATATGAAATCGGTATATAAACAAGCATACAAATATACACCAATGAATATCCTACTTTCAAAAAAGTTACCCTACTTACCACTCTAATCTCGAAGAATCTGCATGGGGTCATGTACGCACTCCCTAACGCTATTGTTTCCACAACACGATGGATGACATTGGTCGTGAAAGCCGCCTCCGTGTTAACCTACTAACATGATGATGATGATGTGTTTGACTATCGCCGGAATGATGCAGCCTTTGGAGCGGTTTTGCCTGATCGGCCGGTAACCGCAGCCGGATAATGTTGGAAGCAGCAGCCGGATAATATAATCGATGATTAACTCGTTGTTTGTACTTGCACAGCACACGCGGCATAACTTCGTTTTACCTTTACAAGGTGCAGTGATGACCCCATAAAAGTCGAGAGAGCTCCTCTAGAGTTTTCATGCGTCAACAAATACCGCTTTTGTCAATTTTAGTCTGAAAAGGCAAAATGGCAGAATGACTAAAACTTTTTTTTTATATTGCGTGAGTCAAATCTAAAGCCCGCGTAATGGATTAATAACACTTCCAACTATTATTAAATTTAGATTTAAAGCTTTCGCGACTGCAGGGATTCATCGTCTTGGTTCTTTCGGTAAAGTCACGTAGAAGGGAAGTAAGAAAATAATAAAAATAAAACATAATAAAACAATTCTCACGACGTTTCGGCCACAACGCAAGCAGCCGTCCTCAGGTGAAAACCAGGTCTGTCGAGGCGACAGCGTCTGAATTATTAAGTTTAGTGTTTTAGCAACAAAAATATTGCCAACTAAGCTTGTTTTTTTTTTCCTTACGAATTTTGCTCTTCCTCGTCTTCGTCGTCTCGAGCCGGCAGAGTCGCGATTCGTGGTGCCGGAGGAGGGCAGAGAGACGATAAACCATCCCAACGTTGATCCGCCGTGAACAAAACTACCGTTTGTTGCTCGTAGGAACTTTTGCCCTGTTGGAAATCTGGCCAAATCAATGAAAGCGTCTGTCCAACCAATACATTGAGGAGGCGAACAGCAAAGCACTGCAAGTATTTGTTCTTGGCGTGTGTGAAGATATCTCTAGCCACGTGGGGGCCGAATTTCTCGCCAGCTCCGCGTGTGGTCGTGCATGCCCCAGGTGTTGAACATTTCATTTTTTGGCATGCCGACACAGAAGGAAACAAAAACCCCACAGCACTCGCCTTCAATATGACGAAGGGCTATTGCCCGAAACGTCGCCTGTTTCATATTGTTCTCCTTTTAAGGCCACACCGTGTTATTGCCGAATGCGCCGAGTTCCGTGCACGAGCACAGATCATGCGCGGCATGCTACGCATTGTACGTGAAGTGTCTATCAGCTCTGCTAATCTGTAAAAAAACGTGAATACACTGCAAGGAATTCGAAGAATGGGACCTGCGTATAATAGTTTACCGCTACGCAATGGCGTATGAAAAGTAAGGTTTATTGCAGCGCGCAGACACCTCGGCAGTCGTTCCGTGGCAACTGTATGTGGCGCGAAGCGACGATTGCTGATGGTCAAGAATAATGAACGGAGGTGGATCGCGGCCATGGAGGAGATGGGAGCGACGACGATTTCTGACATCGGCTCGTTTCATTGTCACGTAGCAGGATTCCGACAAATGCCGGCAGCTTGGGGAGAGGCGTTGATCTGGCAAGTGGATGGACCGTGGCTGATGATGATGATAATCCATGCGCACCACCGCACAACTGCGCCTGTGCCTACAGGATCGCTCACTGTCGAGACACGCTAGGACGTTCGTCCACGGATTCGTCATCAGTCGTTGGGACTTCTGCAACAGAATCTTCAGCTGTGCCAGTGCTCTGCATCTGCATACCTGTCAAACCCTTATCAGTGCCTTGCCTTATTACAGACCGATTCATACCTTAGTGGTCATCCCGTGCCACTTATAAATCTCAACGTTCATCCTACAAAGTCCCATCAAAAGGGAGGAACGCAAAGAAATAGACAAACAAAATTGGCTGTATTGAAACTGCTGTACGCCTTATGGACGTGAAAACTCAGGAATACGGGGAAAGCGTATGGGTCGACAGGTATTCATCTTGATTTAAAGCTTTCGTGACTGCAGGGATTCATATTATTCGTTCTTTCGGTGAAGTCGAAACGTCGTGAGAATTTTTTGTTGTTTTATATTTATATTATTTTATTATTTCCCTTCTACGTGACTTTACCGAAAGAACCAAGAATATATGCAGGTATTCATCTGCGTCCGCTGCATTCAGTCTTCAATGCTGCGGCTCGCCTGACAGTCTAGTCGTGGAAATTAAATTCGATCGGGACCTCAATACGAGACGCGTCACATTGTCTACCGGTCACACCAAGGGTTGTTTGCAAACTGCGCCTACAAAGGTCTATTAAAGTGTTCCTCGTTGCAAGGCCCGCGGCCACTGACTCCTGATGTGCGGCCCCCGACAATACACAAATGTGAAAACGTCCCCCACCATCGTGCTGTCACAAACCCCCAATGTTTTAAAGCTTTCGTGACTGCAGGGATTCATCTTCTTGGTTCTTTCGGTAAAGTCACGTGACTTTACCGAAAGAACCAAGAAGATAAACCCCCAATGGTTTCAGATGTGTGGTGGCGGCCCTCGCACTGATGATGTCTCGTCAGGGAAAGTGGGCCACCCCCCTCCCCCTCCTCTAAAAATGAGTGAACTCCGGTCCGCGACAATCCGCTCCATCCTATCTCGCCGAGCAGTTCCGGCCTCAACGGACCCCAATTGAAGCCGTCTATGATCCGTGGTCCACGGTGATCCTGCTGCTGCTGGTGGTGGTGGTAGTGCTGGTGCTTGTGGTGGTGGTGCTTGTGGTGGTGGTGCTGCTGGTGGTGCTGGTGGTGGTAGTGTTGGTGGTGGTGCTTGTGGTGGTGGTGGTAGTGCTGGTGGTGGTGCTTGTGGTGGTGGTGGTGCTGGTGGTGGTAGTGTTGGTGGTGGTAGTGTTGGTGGTAGTGTTGGTGGTGGTGCTTGTGGTGGTGGTGCTGCTGGTGGTGCTGCTGGTGGTGGTGGTAGTGTTGGTGCTTGTGGTGGTGCTGCTCCTGGTGGTGCTGCTGGTGGTGGTGGTAGTGCTGATGGTGGTGCTTGTGGTGGTGCTGCTCCTGGTGGTGCTGCTGGTGGTGCTGCTGGTGGTGGTGGTAGTGCTGGTGGTGGTGCTTTGGTGGTGGTGCTCCTGGTGGTGCTGGTGCTGGTGGTGGTGCTACCGCTCCCGTGAACAAATCTTGCGCAGCGATACGGCCAGCGCAGTTTCACCGGACTCTCCGACGACCTGGAAAAAGTTACTGGCAGATGTTCTGGATCCATGCTTGAGGCTGAGCCGGATCTGCAACAGACTTTAAAAAAAACGGTGTTTGTTCCGAAGAGCGATCAGTGCGCAGAACATGATGGTCTAGATTCATAAGAGTGCGTGATAACAAGTGTTCAGATTTACTGTAGCTCACCAATTGAAATTGAACTTCAGCCTCATGACGATGCCAGACCATGAAGTAAGAGTGTGGAGATAACGTTAACTACTGACTGCACCCATTACCCCCTTGGCTTAGACTGCTGCAAGTTAAGAAATTGCACGTGTACCCAATGCTGCAACGCTCCGCTACTTTATATTCTTGGGGTCTTTCGGTAAAGTCACATAGATAGGTTCAAAGAAAATAACAAAAAAATTACAAAAACTACGACGTTTCGATCGCAACACAAGCGGTCGTCTTGTTATTTTCTTCGAACCTATCTACGTGATAATAATACGGGTTTTTCCCTTTTTTCTGGCAACAAAATTGAAACCTTTTTACAAGGATTCATGTCTGCATTAACCACAATACTTGCAGTCAAAATGCAAATAAAAAACACACTGATAATATATGCATTGTCCTTGAAACTGATTGGTCCACACCAAGGGACGGCTTTCTTTTGAGCCTCGACTTTTGGCGTCCTCTGGTCGAGCACCAATTGGGTCGAGGCTCAAAAGAAAGCTGTCCCTTGGTGTGGACCAATCAGTTTCAAGGACAATGCATATATTATCATAGTGTGTTTTTTGTTTGCATTTTGACTACAAGTATTGTGGTTAATGCAGACATGAATCCTTGTAAAAAGGTTTCAGTTTTGTTGCCAGAAAAAAGAGGAAAAACCATATTATTATATTTTGGTACTGGCAAAGGAGGTCTAATGTGACTTTACCGAAAGACCCAAGAATAAGAATTCCTGCAGTCACGAAAGCTTTAACTAAAGATTTGCTCTGCTACTTTGTCCGCGATATGGTCAACGGGGAGGGGACGAAAACAACATCTTGATATTCTGCTTTGCTCCTACCCTGTCCCCGGCAGGTGACCAACAAGGTGCTGCCAGTGTGGACGTACTCCTACCTGGCGCTGCTGCTGCCCGTGTTCCTGCTGACGGACTTCCTGCGCTACAAGGCGGTGATCGTGCTGCAAGGCGCGGCGCTCGTGGCGACGTGGTGTCTGCTGCTGTGGGCGCGAGGCGTGCCCGCCATGCAGGCCATGGAGTTCTGCTACGGCGTCGTCACGGCTACGGAGGTCGCCTACTACTCCTACATCTACAGCGTGGTGGCCGCTAAGCACTACCAGCGGGTCACCGGCTACTGCAGGTATGTCCGTACTCTATGTCAAACTTGATTCGCACCGTACGTAGTCGACCGCGCTAAACGGAGGTGCGTGGGAAGGACGATAAACTATGGGTCACTGTGTGAGTCTATGGGTCTCTGTGTGAGTCTGTGGGTCTCTGTGTGAGTCTGTGTGAGTCTCTGTGTGAGTCTGTGGGTCTCTGTGTGAGTCTATGGGTCTCTGTGTGAGTATCTGGGTCTCTGTGTGAGTCTTTGGGTCTCTGTGTGAGTCTGTGTGAGTCTCTGTGTGAGTCTTTGGGTCTCTATGTGAGTCTATGGGTCTCTGTGTGAGTCTGTGTGAGTCTCTGTGTGAGTCTATGTGTCTCTGTGTGAATCTGTGGGTCTCTGTGTGAGTCTATGGGTCTCTGTGTGAGTGTAAGGGTCTCTGTGTGAGTCTACGGGTCTCTGTGTGAGTGTAAGGGTCTCTGTGTGAGTCTACGGGTCTCTGTGTGAGTCTATGGGTTTCTGTGTGAGTCTATGGGTTTCTGTGTGAGTCTATGGGTCTCTGTGTGAGTCTATGGGTCTCTGTGCGAGTCTATGGGTCTCTGTGTGAGTCTATGGGTCTCTGTGTGAGTCTATGAACTTCTTTCGCACCGTATGTAGCCAGCCGTACTCATCGGGGGTGCGTGAAGGTGGCAGCAGCAACAGCAGCACTGGTGATTAGGGTCGGTTAAACCGCATTTAATTTAGCGTTGCCGATAAGAGCATGAAAAATAAATAAAAAGTAGTTGAAAGCTAATAAAATGTATTATTACGCGACGCTGGTGCTGCTTGCGTTGGCAGCGGTGCACGAACATAAAATTACGCAAACTAATCTGAACGCGCTCGTCAATAACACCGTGGCCACGTCCGTGTCAAGGGCGAGGGAGTCGGCGTCCACGTGGAACGGCGATGTTGGGAAGCTCATCGTCAGCTCCGCGTCTCACGCGCGCGCATCACCGGGCGGACGATTGTGAATTTGGGGCGCATAAGTTTTGACCTTGGCGGGGAACATCACATCCAGCTGTTTGGTTTCCCGTGTACGGAGACCCTACTGCTCATAACCCACGTTTAAAAATATACATTTCGTAGAATATTTGAACCGGTCATGGGCCTCCCCTAGGTCGACTCAGTCTTAAATGATAACCTGGTGTGGTGCGTAAACATCTGCGCTTGGGAGACAAAGGCAGCCCGGCGTGCTGTTACCCACCCACCCCCTGAATCGGTGTTTTTATTGCAAGCCCCGCGGGCCACTGACGGCCCCTGATGACCCCTGGTGGCCTTTAGTGAGGCCTCTGATGTGCAGTACCTCGACAATACATGAATAGTAAAAACACCCCCCCATCATCATCGTGCTGCTGTCAAACCCCCAATGGTTTTAGATGTGTGGCGGCCCTCACACACTGATGATGTCTTATCAGCGAGAGTAGCCCCCCTATGAAGATTAGTGGAGAACACTGCACGAGATGCTTGCTAACAGCACTTGCCCCAACAGTCTGTTGAAAGGCTACGCGGCGGGGAATCTTTGCCTTTTGCGTGGGCCCGCGATCACCCGGTGCCTCCGTCATCTGGCACGTGCAGGAGCGCGACTCTCGCGGGCTACACGCTGGCCTCCGTGCTGGGCCAGCTGCTCGTGTCCGTGGCCGGCACCTCGTACCGCAGCCTCAACATCATCTCGCTGGCGTCCGTGTCGCTCGCCTTCCTCGCCTCCTTCCTGCTGCCTTCGCCCGAGCGCAGCATGTTCTTCCACAAGAGGGCGGCGCTGGCGCCGACGCCATCCAAGGCGGACGGGGACGCCGGCCTGACCGGCGACGGTGACGACGGCGAGGCGGCTTCCCCTAGCGTCCCGTCCGTCGCGGCAGCGGAGCTCCGCGCCGGCGCTAGCGTCGCGGCCACGGCCGCCAGCAACGCGCCGTACCGGCCGCTGAGCGGCGGCAAGGTGGCAGACTCGCAGAAGGTCAGCGGCGCGTCAAAGCGGTTTCGGTTTTAAATGCGGATCGTAGTAGCGGGCCGCGAAAGCGACCCCCGCCTCCTCCCCCGGTTTAAGTTTTTAGCGCGTTTGCCGTTTTGTCGCGGGGAGATTTCACGGTCCGAGCCCGGCGGCCGTCTCCAGTTAATGCTGCGGTTGCGTTCGCTTTAAATGTGCCCCCGTACCGCTTCGCGAGGTCCCGCGACGCCATTTCGAAATGCGAGTGGGCCGTGCGAATTTGCGAAATAAAAAAAAATCGACTCCCAAATTACTCGATCGGCCGATGCCACGCAGCGAAAACCACCCCCTGCCCGTCAAACTACCGACCGCAATCGTCCGCGAATCGCCGGGTCTCGGTAACGGTAGCCTCGCGCTATGGGAGTGGCGGGAGGCATACCAAATGGAGCTCACGACTTGCCTGTGATGTGCAAAGGTCGCTTCGGAAGAGCAGGTGCTGGTGGACGAGCGCCAGTGCCCACGCTACGGGGAAGCTCTCTTCGAGGGGACGACCCACGATGCGAAAGCCGGAAGCGACTCTTGCGACGTCGTTGACTTGGCCGGTTCGTCGTCGTCATCGTCGTCGTCATCGTCGCCGCCTCTTCCCAGCGGGATTGACGCGTCCTTCGCGGGCGTGATCACCCGCCTACTCAAGGACTTTGCGAAGTGCTACACGGACCGCTCGCTCCTCGTCTGGTCCATCTGGTGGGCCCTCGCCACCTGCGGCTACAACCAGGTCATCAACTACGTCCAGGTGAGACGAGAGGGGCTCGCGGCGGCGGGGAGAGGAGCGAACGAACGGTGGCGTTGATACCGAGACGCACTGCGGGGAGGGGGGGCGGGCTTTCACTGCCGGACGACGCGCTGTACCCAGCAATATGGCGCAGCCGGCCGCGCGACTGTGTCCGACGTGGTGGCCACTCATCCAAGCGCTATCCAGCCTCTCGAGGCTAACTTGGCTTGCGTTGATCTGACGAGATGGGGCACGGTCCGCGTGATTTGGCGATCGCGGTGCACAAGGTACCGTTTAATTTGTCCTTTGCTCGGTTGTGTTCTAATCCTGCTAGCGGCGTCACGAAGTGTCCGTGCAGAACTCTTGCGGGGCATCTGTCTTACCCAGTGTTTTGGAGAACGGCCCACAAAAGCGAATGTTGCAGAACCACTTATGAGATCCACTTTTTAAGCGTCCTCTTATCCACGCCACGGGCACAGTTTACCGTGCACCGTGCGAGAAGACAACTTGCAAATTTAACGTGATGGGTTTTTTTTTTATTTGTTGCTGCTATTCGGTGACCCGGCTGTGACCACCAAATAAATACAATTTATCGGGGACGAAGCCTTTGCCGTTGCAGCACCAATGTTTTGGAACAACCTCGTTTCCGCCCTTAACACCGTGAATCTTCCTTCTGTAATGTGAGGTTATATCCGGGTCGCTGACGGATCACAACTCGTCACGATGATTGGCTCTGCCGGTCCTGGTCCATAGCCAATGGGGGGAAGCCTAGGGGCGTGGCCCTGACGTAATGGAAAGGTGACAGCTGTAAGTAGAGGATTGGTTCTGCTGGCTTTAGCCACAGCCAATGGGGAGACGAGTCAGGGACGTGGTCCTGGGAGCCTACGGTGGAGTCTGGAAGATTCCATAGAGGCTAACCAGGATTGGTGGAAAGGTACCACATGACCCGGGTATAAAATAGGGGTGGAGACGAACAACACGTGGTCAGAACTGGAACGAACAAAGGGAAGGAGGCCACGCGAGAGTGGGGGTCCAGGCTGCCACGTGGTCCAGGCTGCCACGTGGTCCAGGCTGCCACGTGGTCCAGGCTGCCACGTGGTCCAGGCTGCCACGTGGTCCAGGCTGCCACGTGGTCCAGGCTGCCACATGGTCCAGGCTGCCACGTGGCTGCGCGCATCTCTCTCTCTCTATCCCTCTCACGCTGTCTGTCAGCAGCGTGAAGGAGTGTTGTAATGAAAGACGAATAAAGACCGGATTCCAGAAGTCGCTTCAACGACCTTAATTACACTTCGAAAGACAGAAGCAGAAAAATGCGTGCTGGTGGACACAGCAGTCGCATTCGCAAACGGGATTTGATCCTTGCCTGTGTAGTATCGATAGCGCCATGTTCGCGCGTCGTTTTATTGAGGGAGTGCCGCTGTGTGGCGTTATCTTGGTGCGGTCCGGGACTGTTGTGTTGTCGTTTTGCTGCCCTGCCCAATCTTGATAAATCGGATTGACTTGACACATTTATTCGTATTTATTGACGTTCCTACCTTTTTCTCTATTTCGTACTCCTGTCCTTTTGAACACGTAGGCTTTCGCGACCAATATCATCAATAATACAGGTTTATTTGGGTTAGATCGCGAAGGTATAAATGTGTCGTTAAACCCGCCACCACCCTCGCTGTGTCGGTTGGTGGCAGGTTTACTGACATATTTATATTTTTTGCGATCTAACCCAAAAAAAAACCGCATCATGAACTCTTATCCTTGTTTGTATTGTTTGCTGTTGTAGCTTTTCAGGCCCTGCCCCATACTACACCTTCTGTGAAAAAAGGTTCTTCACAGCTCATAGGATTCCTCCTCTTTAAATAAATTATTCTGATCCTGAGAACATCTTTGCTGCAGGTGCTTTGGGCAGAGATGGAGCCGTCAAACAGCACGGCCGTGTACAACGGAGGCGTCGAGGCGGTCTCAACCCTCGTGGGTAAGGTCACACGTGTGGGTCAATAGGTCAGAGGGTCAAAAGTACCCAAGCCAGTGGAGCTATCTCTTCATCTTTTTACTTTCCTATTCTCTTCCCTCCGGCCGAGCGGCCGGCGCGATTTCACAAGACGGGAGATTCCGTGCGGAGAAAAAAAAATACCGCAGAGTCGTGCAAAGTCCACGACCACGAGAATTCCTGCCTCAAGCAGATTTTGGAGCCAGTTTGAATGCCGCTACGCCCACTGTCCCGAAGGGAGGGGAGGGAAGGGCGGGGGCGGTGTCCACGAAGAACGACGGCGAGCGGTGTGTGGTGACCTTGCGTGTGGCGACGCCACGGCCCAGCGGCAGCGCTTTCGCAGCCTGTCGCAGAGAGGCTCGCGGTTCGAAGGCAGACGGCCGCCCCGGTTAATACTGCGATGCGCATGAACCATAAAACGCTACCCCGCGGCCGTGTGCTTCACAGCGGACGTTTAAAGATCCCGTGACATCATTCGAAGAAACTAAAACTGACAATTTTTTTATTTTACCAGGTAAGGCCCCTCTGAGCTATGCGGCTCTTTTTCAGAAGCGAACTGGCTGCCACAAATGAAAGCTTAACTAAGTGGCTTATCATCTTGTGGAAATTTATAGCAGCCAAAGACTCTAAACGTGGGATGTTGATTCTAAATGGGGAGGGAAAAGCCAGCGTATTAGTCCAAATTAGGTTTTTTGTAAAATGACACTGCAAATTGCATAATTCAACTATTATTTTTTACTTTACCAGGTAAAGCCCACTGAGCTATACAGCTCGTTTCCAGAAACGACCTGGTTATCACGAATGGAATTGCAAAGCAATTATTGCCTCGCCCCCTGAGAAAACTTAGCACGACCCTCCGGAATCTAGCGCTTGTATGGGCGAGCACCGTACATTATTTTGGGGGTTTGAAGCTTTCGGTAAAGTCACGTAGGTAAAAAATAAATAATAAAAATAAATAATAAAAGAAATAACAATTAATTTTATAATAAAAAAAATAGAAATCAAATATTATTTTATTTCTATTCTTTTTTCTATTATTTTATTATAATTTTTATTATTATTTTTTTCTACGTGACTTTACCGGAAAAAACCTAAGAGTATTATTTTGGGGTTCGCGTCGCACACCGCTCGCCTTCATCTCGATGGTCTCACCTCGTCACGTCTCGTCACCTCTTCCCCTGTGCACACAGAGAGAGAGATAAACGCCTGTGGCAGCACAAAAACACAACGCATCCCCTTCGCAAAGCATCCTCGACGGACTTTCCTTTGCATCGTAAAACTTAATCTTTTACACTTTTAAAGATCGTAACAGGAGATTGACGTTTCACAAAATACCACGTCTGAGTTAAATATTAACGTAACCACACCGATAGCACCTACACCTAATTAAGAGGTGGCTTTCGACGAAAGGTCACTGGTGGGATTGAAACGGTGGCAGGTGTGGTTTGCGTGGCTGCGCTGTGAACCCCGGTGACCCGAGTTCGATTCCCAGCCAACGCGAACGACTTCAATATCCAATCTTTCGTTTGACGTTGACAAACCTACTCTTTGGTTATTTCGGTAAAGTTGACATGCTAAATTTTCTCACATTAGCATCACGAACCAGAGGTCGCAAACGGGTTTTGATTCCTTACCCGTACCCGTACCCGGCCGCACCAGGGTCGCAAACGGGTACCCTACCCGATACCCGGCTACCCGTACCCGGCCGGGTATCGGGTAGGGTACGGGTACCCGATTGCGACCTCTGGGATGAAGCCATGTTGCAGGCGCGGGTGGGTTGATTCTAGGAACTTTAATTGTGAGAAGAGACAAGACGTTGGGAAATGAGTGACAAACAGTTACTCACCAGTGACTCACGGCCTACCCGTACCCGGCCGCACCAGGGTTGCAAACGGGTACCCGTACCCGGCCGGGTACGGGTAGCCGGGTACGGGTAGCCGGGTACGGGTAGCCGGGTATCGGGTAGGGTACGGGTATTGGGTACCCGATTGCGACCTCTGTCATGAACCCAGCTTCTCTCTACCTTCGATCTATTACCTGTGCCCAACTCCCCCTCCCTCCCTCCCTCCCTCCTCGCCTCCCCCCCCTCTCACAGCTCGGCAGCCAACGCTGCAGCATCCTCTACCATTGACATGCTAATGTTCTCACACTCCGCCCACTTACCCCTGGGGTTGAGCCCACCAAAAACCCTTTATAAGCAGTTGTTGTTAGCAGATCTTTCTCCTAAATCAGCAGTTGTCCTGCTGTATCGGTTCCACCTGATGACGGTCGCTTGTGTTGCGATCGAAACGTAGTGATTTAATTTAATTTATTTTCTACCTACGTGACTTTACCGAAAGAACCAAAGAGTATGGATCGCTGCAGTCACGAAAGCTTCAAATCTAGGTTGACAATCCTGCATCGATGTTCACACTCGTGAAATGTCTACTTCCGTGCCATATCTACGTCTATTAATTTTCATTGACTTGCTTCAATTTTCTCTGGGGGGGGGGGGGGGGGGCGGCAACGTGGCGGTAAACGAGGCGGAGACATGTGGACAGACGGACGGAGAAAGCTTGTTGTCCGAACATCCCCACGCCTCTTAATTGTAAACAAATTAACACGTAGGCTTCCGCGATCAATAGCATCCATAATAGAGTTTTTTTTGGGTTAGATCGCGTAAATATATAAATGTGTGGTTAAACCCACCACCACCCGACACAGCCAACTAGTAAGGGTTGTCACATAAACAGAACATGCCAATTCGTCACTAGTACAGCACACCGGTTGTGTGTTGGAGAGCCAAGCCACAACATTTACAATCTGAGTACGATGTTTCGCCAGTAATTACAACCAGCTTCATCAGGCGACAGCCAGAATTGTGGAGAAGTCCGCCTCTGTTATGGAGGTAAATAAATTATTTGGCTCACGCTGCGTCGTCGGCAGTGGTGTGCAAAGCACAAACATCAACAACAACAAAATGCCAACGTGTTTGTTGGTCATTTTGGTGTAACTTGCTGATCCCGCAACCCCGGCTGGAAATCTGTGAAAAAGAGCATCATGGCTCATCAGATTCCTCCAGGATAAATCAAGATTCTGATTCTCAATATCTACTTTTTATTCATTGCAACTTTGGGAGACCTTTTGTGAAAGGCGAACTCTGTGAATGCAAGATGTGTTATTGTTTCCTATATCTGAACAATTCGTGGTCAAACAAACCGCCACACACACACACGGCGCCACGGTGACTAGGAGATGTTAACTACCTCGCCTGGTATACAGGAGGTCGTGGGTTCCATCCCGACCCTGACGCCTGCTGCTGTATACATGGAGTTTGCGGTGTCTCTCTCCCCGTGGTCGTTTGGATTTTTCTCAGTGTCCTCCAGTTTTTCCCTCCGCATTTAGAAATATGCGTTTTACAGCATTTGGCTGCTGTAAATTTGCACGTGATGAGCCACTTTGTTGAGCTATCATTTGTGGCCAGGTCGCTGATGAAGAAGAGCTACGTGGCTCAGTGGGCCTCACCGGGTAAAAATAAAATAAAAAGTTTAGTTTAAGCACAGAGATGATTTTAAAAACGCGTTTCCAACAGCTGGTGATGAAGCCCAAGACTCAAGCGGTCAATAGTTCACCATGTTTATAGTGTGCGGGAATAATCGCGAAGAGATTTGGAAAAATACTGCCGGAATTAATGAAAATTAAGAAGAATTCCAGCCACGAGTCTTGTTCGCACGAGTTAATAAACGCACTAAGAGCGGCCAAGTCGGCTTGGACACAGGGAGACTTGTGTTTTCCTCGCGCGGAATGCGACTCCGTGGCCGGGCAAAGGACATGGCATTACAGAGAAGCAGTCACAGGGGATTCAGAAGGGGTGGTGTGAACAAAAGACAAAGACCCCCCGCATAGCCTTAACAGACTGTAGGGGCAAGTGCTGTTAGCGAGTAGCACCTAATGAAGGCCGGCACGGCACACGAGGGGGTGGGTGGCCAGCACCACGCCCCGGCCACCTTTGTCTGCCTAGTGGCGATGTTTCCACACCGCACCAGGTACTCATTTGAGGCTGAGTTGACCTAGGGGACGCTCAGGACCGGTTGGCAGTGAGAGGGAATCGAAGTCGGGTCGCCGCTCCCCACTGTGAATACAATTGCGCAGCGTCACAAACACCTCTTACGAATGGATCCCGATCAGAATCTTTATTTAGACTGGAAGAATGCGATGAGCTTTTAAGCTCTTTTTCACAGTAGGGGCGGGGCAGCAAGTTGCAACGACAAACACTGCAGAAACAGATCGGAGTGCAAAGTATACAGGAAATCTAAACTAAGGCTAAAAGCTAAGCAAGCCGCAAGGGATTCAAACTTTCCAGTCGTGGCCCACGTTGCCGAGACGTTGGCTTTGGTTTCTAAAAACCGTGCGCCTCTCCGACGTGTTACCGGGTCGTACCGCGTGCTCGTCGGCACAACGTCGTCCGACGTTTCTCTCCACGCGCCGGGAACACCTTCCGGAAGCTTTGGGCGAATTCGACTCCCCAAAGGGTTTGGTTCCAAGGCCACAGGAGCGAAACGTCGGACATCGTGCCAAACCACAACGACGACGCGAAAACGCACCGGGGGGGGCGGGGGGGTGGAAGCCGTGCAGCGGCACAGCCGCGTCGTCCCGCCGCCCTCGCCGCGTTTCCGTACCCAAATTCTTGACATTTCGCGAAATCTCCCGCGGATGTCGGGCGACGCCGCGAGCCAATGTCGGCGCAAGCGGCACGAGTGCGGAGAAGCCTGCGCGGTTAACCGAGCGTCCGTCCGTGACCTCTCCGTCCTCGGCAGGCGCCGTGTCGGCCTTCGCCGTGGGCTTCATGCCGCTAGACTGGGCGCTGTGGGGGGAGCTGGCGCTGGGGGTCTTCTCGGGGCTCGACGCCGCCGCCCTCTTCCTCATGGCGGCGCTGGACAGCGTGTGGGTCGGCTACGTGGGCTACGTCGTCTTCAAGGGCTCCTACACCTTCCTCATCACCATCGCCACGTACGCCGCCGTGGCCGCACTCGCTCGAGGAGTGCACCCGCCCACTCGCTCGCCCGCACACTCGTTCACTCGCTCGCCCACTCACTCACCCGTACACTCGCTCACCCACACACTCACCCACTCACTCACCCAATCACTAAGTACCCCACTCACCCACTTACTCACCCACTCACTCGCTCGTCCACTCACTCACTTAAGTACCCCATTCACCCACTTACTCACCCACTTACCCACTCGTCCATGCACTCACCCACTTAAGTACCCTACTAACTCTCCCACCCACTCACTCGTTCACTCACTCGCCCACTCACTCGCTTAATTACCGCACTCACTCACCTACTTCGCTCACCCACTCACTTAAATACGCCAGTCACCCACTCACTCACTCGTCCACTCACTCATCCACTTATTCACTCGGGTCTACTCTGACTTCCTGGTTTCATGACTTGAGGATTGTTGTCGCGTATCTATTTGCTACATTTGGCTGTGAGAATCTTCACACCTGACAATTTGATTTGCTTTTCTGGCTCGGGTGGATGCAGATCATTACTCGGTGACCTCCCTACCAGAGCGTCCCGCGTGTTACGGCTGCGAACAAACAACCCTTGTTCCCCATATACCCCACTGCCTGTCATCCACGTTGCACCCATCAGAGACCCTCACTCACCTTCACGTTCCAACTTATTCTGCCTTACCTACCGCTGCAACATCACCTCCATTCCGAGCCCTGTCCCTCCGTCCACTCCATCACCTTCCTTACTGAACGCCACAGGATTGCATGTTAAAGCGCCCTGGGGAGGGTGCTATGTAAATGCGAAATAGAATAAAATAAATGGCCGGTCCCGGACCCCCGCGCTTACATCCCATTTAATAAATGCCGCCAAGGTTCCAGATCGCGGCGACACTGGACATGGAGCGGTACGCGCTGGTGTTCGGCGCCAACACCTTCGTGGCGCTGGTTCTGCAGACGGTGCTGACGGTGGTGGTGGTGGACTCGCGCGGCCTGGGCCTCGACGTCGTCACGCAGGCGAGGACCGGGGCGACCGCCCCCCCCCCCCCCCCACTGCCATGCCCAACGCTTGTCCTCGTAGGGCTGCGTAAAGCGGTTAGCGCGCAAAGCTACGAACTCCCGCTCACGGCCAATAACAGTGGCGAATATTTGTACCCGTCCTGGGCCTCCCCTAGGTCGACTCGGCCTCAATTGAGTCCTCGTAGGGCTGCGTAAAGCGGTTAGCGCGCAAAGCTACGAACTCCCGCTCACGGCCAATAACAGTGGCGAATATTTGTACCCGTCCTGGGCCTCCCCTAGGTCGACTCGGCCTCAATTGAGTCCTCGTAGGGCTGCGTAAAGCGGTTAGCGCGCAAAGCTACGAACTCCCGCTCACGACCAAAACAGTGGCGAATATTTGAACCCGTCCTGGGCCTCCCCTAGGTCGACTCAGCCTCAATTGAGTCCTCGTAGGGCTGCGTAAAGCGGTTAGCGCGCAAAGCTACGAACCCGGCGACCCGAGTTCGACTCCCGCTCACGGCCAATAACAGTGGCGAATATTTGAACCCGTCCTGGGCCTCCCCTAGGTCGACTCGGCCTCAATTGAGTCCTCGTAGGGCTGCGTAAAGCGGTTCGCGCGCAAAGCTACGAACCCGGCGGCCCGAGTTCGACTCCCGCTCACGGCCAATAACAGTGGCCAATATTTGAACCCGTCCTGGGCCTCCCCTAGGTCGACTCAGCCTCAATTGAGTCCCTGGTGCGGTGTGTAGTAAACATCGCCACTGGGGAGACAAAGGCGGCCGGGCGTGGCGTTGGCTAGCCACCCTCTCGTGTGCCGTACCGGCCTTCATAGGTGCTGCTTGCCAACAGCACTTGCTCCAAAAGTCTGTTAGGGCTATACGGGGGATCTTTGTATTTGTTTTGATATACTACGCGGGTTGCAGAGTACAGTCTCTTAGTACGCCGTGTATTTTAGACACGTGAATTCAGGTGACAAAAAATGTTTCAACGAGTCTGTTATTTTGGCTGCGTGTATATCGGAATCACAATCTGTATTTATCCAGGAGAAAGCTGACGAGCTATGAAGCTCTTTTCACAGACGTCCAATAGGGACGTGTCAGAAAGCAAACATTAATATGCACGAACACCCCTCGTCGCGTCCGTTACGACGATACGCGAGCGTGCGCCAAGTCGCTGGCCGCGACCACTGACCGTTGATCGTGCGCGGCCCCCGCAGTTCTTCATCTACGCGTGCTACTTCACGGCCATCGCCGCGCTCTTCGTGCTCAAGGGCCTCCACACGGTGGTGCGGCGCCAGCTCCTGCGCGGCTCCGAGCCCTCCAAACTGGAGCCGGGCCCGTCGCCGTCGCCACCGCCGTCGTCGTCGTCATCGTCGTCGCCCGTCAACGACGCATGCCCCGGCTCCTCTCGCGTCATCCACAGCTCCCAGCTGTGACGGCGATTGTCACGACGGGAGAAGGCTTTGCGGCGTGGTGATAAACGTTGACAACATCGTCAACATCGTCGTGTTGGTCTGTCCACTCGAAGACTCTGCGAGCCGCTCCCACCTAACAACATGAAGGAGAAATCATTCTGTGGTGGCGACAAGATGTTATCTACCTCGCCTGGCACGGAGGGGTGTCGTGGGTTCGATCCCAACCTCCGACGATGCCGCGTGCTCTGTCTCGCCACCGTGGTGGTCACGTAGATTTTGCCCTCCACCAATTATGAACACGCTTTTCGATTATTTAGCTTCGAATATAAATTCCCACGTGATGATATCGGCCGCTTCAATGAGCTATCACAAATGGCCAGGTCATCTCTGAAAAATAGCTCGGTGGGCTTTACCTGGTTAAATGTAATGGTTCTTCTTCTTGGTTCTTTCGGTAAAGTCACGTAGAATGAAAATAATAAAAATAAAACATAATAAAATAATTCTCACGACGTTTCGGCCACAACGCAAGCAGCCGTCCTCAGGTGTAGAACAGGTCTGTTGAGAAGACAGAGTCTGAATGTCAAGACGCTCTTCCCCCCTCCATCCCAGCTTAAATAGTCGCTCCAAGCCTGGGGCGTGTCATTCAGACTCTGTCTTCTCGACAGACCTGTTCTACACCTGAGGATGGCTGCTTGCGTTGTGGCCGAAACGTCGTGAGAATTATTTTATTATGTTTTATTTTTATTATTTTATTATTTCCATTCTACGTGACTTTACCGAAAGAACCTAGAAGATGAATCCCTGCAGTCACGAAAGCTTTAAAAATCGAAATGTAATGGTTCTGCTTGGTTTAGCCTAGTGGCGTGAACCAACTCAATTGATTATCGTCAGCCACGATCAATCTGCTGCCTGGGCGAAGGCGGCATTCGTCTCTCATGGGTCCCGCACGGGCATCGATCCATCGTCGCGTTCCAGCGCTTGAGTCGATGTCACCGCGGCATCTGCGCTAGCGGACGTCGTCCTTCCTCCACCGGTCGCCACTCCACCGTTGAAGTGTCGACCAACAGCGACCAGCGCGACGCGGCGCGGTAAATGTTGTAACTTATTATCCTTATTATGAATAGGATGGAGCAGCCTGGGCAAAAAAAACTACAGATTTTTTTTTTTTTTTACAATCTTTTTAAAACTTGTTAAACTCTAGGTCCTCCCTTGAGACCTTAGCCGTGCAACTTAATCGTGAAATTGAAATCTTATTTAAAAAAACTGCTGCCTTTTAAACAAAAATGCACCACGATATTTTTACTTCACGTGACATCCTCACAGGAATAGACCGCGGTACATTTAGCACGCTCGTGTGCAAGTAATGGCCTCCTCCTCAACGGCCGGTCGAATATTGTGACAGCGATGTCTCCGAATCCCACGCCGGGGAGAGTGTCTATGAAGACGTAACGAGTGCATTGGGAATGGTGGGAGGTGTGTGTAGGAGGCTTTGAAAGTGGGGTATCTATAAATGCATCGCCACGTGCGTGCGTGTGTGTGTACACTAGAAGGAGTGGTAGCGTAGGAGTGGTAGCGTAGCAGTGGTGAGCACGCAGGGCTATGAACCTGGCAAACAGGGAACGATTCCCCGCTCACGGCCAACACCGGTGCCGATTATCTGAACCGGTCCTGGGCCTCCCCTAGGTCGGCTCGGCCTCAGATGAGTAACTGCTGCAGTGGTGTAAGCGTCGCTACTGGGGATACAAAGGCGGCCCGGCGTGGTGCTGGCCACCCACCCGCTTGTGTAATGTTCCGGCCTGGAGAAAACCAACGCGTGCCGGAGGAGTGGGCGGGGGGAAACACTCTATGCCATTAATGGAATAAGCAGAATAAGTGGAGTCCACATCTATGCTGTACCTCATCCTCCTGGCGAGCCGTGCTCGCTTAATAAAAAAGGACTTACTTGAAATAATGGACACTCAAAATGTCAATTTCTACGCCTGCGTTGCGACGTTGTAGTTTATTTGCCGCGACGGCAAACGGCAATCAAATTCTCCACCCAGTCGATGTGATTGCATATCCCTTGTTCAGTGAAACTGCGTTGGCAGTGGTGCACAGAGCGCAAATAACAAATAAGAAAAGCCCAACTCATTCGCCAATACAACCGCGGCTTCACAAAAAACAGGATGTGCGACAGGTGACACTTTGGGCTTTGTCCCTTCGCCGCAGGCACGTTCGGAGGGCTACTGCCCGAAACGTCAACCTGTTGTGCATTTCGTTCCTTTTTAAGGCCGTAGTGTTATTGACGGACGCGTTGAGTTTTCAACTAATTTAATTATGGAGTCTGGTGGGGTCGGGGGAACGCAACTGTGGTGCTGTGGGCTTGTGTCTCGGAAGTTGGGGATGCTTTGGCCAGTTGGATTCGTGAACGCTTTGATCACGTTGGAAATATCCAGAGTGCTCGGAAGAATACCAGTGGCGTATGAGGGGGGATGACACTCCCGCATACGAAGCCTAACAACACGCGCCAACCCAGGTCTGTCGACATCCGGGCACGATGATTTCGCCCTTGGCACGGAGTGAGATTTGCGAACTCTATACATCGTGGTAGGGTGAGCAGGTCCTATGCGACGAAATGAGGACGGCTCTCCGATTTCGTTCATCAGGGCTGGTGGGACACCACCAGCACTCTCTTGGTGTTGGAGGAATCCAAGAACGTTTGAAATCTGCAACGAAAACAAAAGTCGCGTAATCGGTCGCTGCTTTCTCCGCCACTTAAGGGCCGTGACAAAGAGACGGACGGCGTAATGTGTGCGTCTCTCCGCTTCTCATCCTCGCTGTCTTACCTGTGGACCTCTGCTGGCTACCCACCCCTCGTGTGTTGTGCCGGGCTTCACAGGCGCTCGCTAACAGCACTTGCCCCAACACTCCGTTCAAGCTATACGGGGGAATCTGTGCCTGTTTAACACGTAGGCTTTCGCGACCAATATTATTCATAATCAACGTTTTTGGGTTTAGATCGCGTTATTTATAAATGTGTCGTAACCCTCCACCACCCGACACGGCCAATCAGTAAAAAAGTGTCACGTTGACAAAAGACAAATAGTTCACTGCTTTAGCCCACCGGTGTGTTGAAGCGTGAAACCACACAAATTGTAACTGTTGTCTCTCGCCGTCTCTCTCTCTCTAGGAGTTAAACGTTCCCGTTAACGCCGTCAGCTTGGGCTCAGGCTCTCGGTACCCAGTCACACTGGCCCAGCTGCTGCAGCCGCTCGCAGCTCAATTGCGCCCTCTGCTGGGAACCGTCGTTTTCTTTTTGTCAAACCGCCGCAGACATTTCATTTCTTGAGAACAGTTTTTTTATGTTTAGCTTGTTGTCCACCGATTAGCACGGTTGGCCACGTACGGTGCGAAAGAAGTTCAACATACATGCATAGACTCACGCAGAGACCCATAGACTCACGCAGAGACCCGTAGACTCACGCAGAGACCCGTAGACTCACGCAGAGACCCATAGACGCAGAAAGAGACCCGTAGACTCACACAGAGACTCATAGACTCACACAGAGACCCATAGACTCACACAGAGACCCATAGACTCACACAGAGACCCATAGACTCTCACAAAGACCCGTAGACTCTCACAAAGACCCAGAGACTCACACAGAGACACATAGACTCACACAGAGACCCATAGACTCACACAGAGACCCATAGACTCTCACAGAGACCCATAGACTCACATAGAGACCCATAGACTCACACAGAGACCCATAGACTCTCACAGAGACCCATAGACTCTCACAGAGACACATAGACTCACACAGAGACCCATAGACTCACACAGAGACCCATAGACTCACACAGAGACACATAGACTCACACAGAGACCCATAGACTCACACAGAGACCCATAGACTCACGCAGAGACCCATAGACGCAGAAAGAGACCCGTAGACTCACACAGAGACCCATAGACTCACACAGAGACCCATAGACTCACACAGAGACCCATAGACTCACACAGAGACCCATAGACTCTCACAAAGACCCGTAGACTCTCACAAAGACCCAGAGACTCACACAGAGACACATAGACTCACACAGAGACCCATAGACTCACACAGAGACCCATAGACTCTCACAGAGACCCATAGACTCACATAGAGACCCATAGACTCACACAGAGACCCATAGACTCTCACAGAGACCCATAGACTCTCACAGAGACACATAGACTCACACAGAGACCCATAGACTCACACAGAGACCCATAGACTCACACAGAGACACATAGACTCACACAGAGACCCATAGACTCACACAGAGACCCATAGACTCACACAGAGACCCATAGACTCTCACAGAGACCCATAGACTCTCACAGAGACACATAGACTCACACAGAGACACATAGACTCACACAGAGACCCATAGACTCACACAGAGACCCATAGACTCACACAGAGACCCATAGACTCACACAGAGACCCATAGACTCACACAGAGACCCATAGACTCACACAGAGACCCATAGACTCTCACAGAGACACATAGACTCACACAGAGACCCACAGACTCACGCAGAGACCCACAGACTCACACAGAGACCCACAGACTCACACAGAGAACCACAGACTCACACAGAGACCCATAGACTCACGCAGAGACCCATAGACTCACACAGAGACACATAGACTCACACAGAGACACATAGACTCACACAGAGACTCATAGACTCACACAGAGACCCGTAGTTTGTTGTCCTTCCCCCGCTTTGGCTACGTAAAAAAGTTCAACATACATACATACATAACCCAAAATCGCAATTATGAATCCGAATATTTTTGCCGCGAAACGCCCCACGTGTCAAGGATGTATCTTGCAACGACGAGACCCGTGGCGCTTGCCCGCGTTCCTCTTGGCGCGTCTTGGCGGCGTAGACGGCGTGCAAGAGCCACCCGAAGCAGGCCAGCACGAACAGCGAGGCCAGCAGCGCCTCCAGGAAGTCGTCGACCACCGCCTTGGGGGACACCTCCATGTTATCCATCATTTCCGGAAGATCTGCGGAAGGTGCCAAATTTGAACTCACCCAGCGGTCACCGAATTGAAATAACGAAAAGCAACATCGCCCCCCGCCGCCCCCGCCCCCCCCCCCCGCCCTTCCTACTGGCAAACTAATGCCGACTTAAATTTCGATTTAAAGCTTTCGTGACTGCAGGGATTCATCTTGTTGGTTCTTTCGGTAAAGTCACGTAGAAGGGAAGTAATAAAATAATAAAAATAAAACATAATAAAATAATTCTATTATTTTGACTTTATCGAAAGAACCAAGAAGATAATGCCGACTTGCACGCCGGTTCTTCGTATGGCTGTTGTTGAGGGTGCTTGAAGCGAGATAACACTGGTCAACACACTTTTTCTGGCATAAGGTATTCCAACGGTTGCTGCTCCTGAGATTGCAGACGTAACGATGTGTCGGGGACATTGGTTTGTGCCGCCGTCTCCTGGCGAGCCGGGGTATGGCACCTCGATTGTGCCCACGGGTAAGAACGGAGTTTCGCAATTACACTGGTCAACACTTTTTCTGGCATAAGGTATTACAACGGTTTTCATGTAATTTTGGGGTGCTGATTCCAAATCTGGCATCAGTTTTTGTCTATCACATCAGGTTTTTGAGATATAAAATATTGCATTTTCAATAAAAACTGCGGAAGAAAAATATTAAATAAATGTGGATATCTACATAAAA